GTTTCTCAGGCCAATACTAGTAAACTGCAAAAAATATTATGGATGTTGAATGAAAGAGGGGGATCGACTGTCTAGCCAGGATCATCTTCACCATTGTTTTTACTTAAAGTTAAAGATTAAACATCTTGCTATTAACCACAGTTAAGTTAAACATATGTCTATGTCCTACGACCTTTAGACTTCGTCAAATAGCCAAACAAATCACGATTTACAAATATTGTCAATTTAATTATCTTTATACACATACCATGTGCTGTTGGCGAGGTTAGCTCGCCACATGAATCAGAAGATGATGGGCGTATGTTTCTAGTAGCTCACTATCAATGAGAGGATGATGGGTGTTATTTTCCGGTAGCTCGCCACACGAATGAAAATATGGTTGGTGTTATTTTCTAGTAGCTCGCCACACGAACGAAAATATGGTTGGTGTTATTTTCTAGTAGCTCGCCACACGAATGAAAATATGGTTGGTGTTATTTTCTAGTAGCTCGCCACACGAACGAAAATATGGTTGGTGTTATTTTCTAGTAGCTCGCCACACGAATGAAAATATGGTTGGTGTTATTTTCTAGTAGCTCGCCACACTAATGAAAATATGGTTGGTGTTATTTTCTAGTAGCTCGCCACACGACTGAAAATATGGTTGGTGTTATTTTCTAGTAGCTCGCCACACGAATGAGAGTATGATGGATGCTATCTTCTAGAGTTGCTCTGTAGCTTTAATTTGAGTCCTTTTATATAACCATGTATTGGATGTAAATATTATCATCTAATTTATGTTCAAGAGTTTTACCGTATGTTAATCTAACGCTATAAACTTTCTTCAACTCTTTCATTTCTTCATATTTCCTTTTTTAAATTTGGAAAATACAGCTGCAAAAAAATGTAGTTGAACGTTGATAAGGGAAATTTGATACTTTGTTGTATTTAAACATCTTTATTAAACACGACATTTGCTAGGAGAAACATGTTTTAAAGCCATTGTTCCAACGTCTTCAACATAATCGAACAACCAGTTTTATGACACAACAACAAAAAACATGCTGAAGTCTCCTTTAACCCCATTAGCACGAAGTTGACTTTAAGAACGGTGTCGAAAATGGGTTAGACTATCTAGTGTCTTCACGTGCTTTTAATGTTGCAGTGAAAGTATACAGTCTTCTTGTTGATGGATGAGCCCAGAAGCACTATGTTGTCGGTTAGTAATTGAACCTAAAAATTGAAGCTGCCAGAGGAATCTTCTGTAGGTTGCCATCACGGAATTATTAAAAGTCCCTTGAAAAAGAACCGAGAAAGGAATGGCTGAGTTTAAACGCTCGAGAACTAAAAAAAAAAAATGCTTTATCGTGTATATATATTAAATAATTACTGTGTCTATAAACATTTCAAGGACAGCTAGTTCCTTCTTATTGCAGACAATAAATCGCGTGTACTAAAAAACTTTCAGCTCAACTGAACATGATAACGATTGATTCTTTTTAAGTGCAGGAGAAATGTCGTGCTTAAAAGGTGTGTCCTTTCCCCCTAGGGACAAAGAGCAGTATATTTCCAGGATTGGATTTTTTGTAATTATTAAACTATTATTTAACAGCAACGACATAATTGAGAGAATTAGTTTAAAACATATTAAATTAAATGTATGTCCATTCTTGTGGAACTGATTAATAGATAAGAATAAAGGTTTTTTTGTTTTGTTCACCCAAACGTTTCTGTTACTGCATTTACTTTAATACAAAATGTTTCTCCGTATGTATATAGATATTTGAGAAAAATGTAAGCATTTAGAGTGTATTGTATTTGTGTATTTACTTTAATAATAACTCGGTGTTTTATAAAACCATAAACTGAATGGACAAGGTGTGGAATATTATGTTTATAACTTTTGTTTTGATGAAGAATTTGTCTCTTACTACGGCCTTATTTTAAATACTAAAATTGAAACTGACCCAAATTAGATAACTCAGGCCAACAGCACTTCTTGACGGGGATGTCAATTTATTAACTAATGATTGACTTCAGTGAAACATTTTTATCTGGTGATGTTTTATATAGTGAATTATATAATATTCCATAGAAAGTCAGTGGAAGCGCAACATGGTTTTAGTTTCTATTTAACCTCAAGTAAATCGAAATTCAGGTTTTATTTTTATGAATAAGCTGTTTAATTTTCAATTTTAACGTGTTTTGTTTTTATCTCAGTTTACAAAACACCTCTGTCATCCCGACCTTATAGACCCGATTCTTTCACTGCCACGTTTATACAAAAACAGCGCCCCCACTGCCCAAAAGACACGTGTTTTATTACTTATCTGAAACTTGAGAAAGTTTGAAGAGAAATGCTCTTATTTCATGGTGGTTACAAACTTTCAAATTCACACACGGTTAACGTAACACTTTTCAAGGTTAGCACAAAGAGGGTACATTAGATAAATGCTCAGGGCAGTGATCTTGAGGAAGACAGATATACATTGAGAGTGAAAGGGGTAAGAAGAATAATGTTGTGTTTTCTTATTTTCAGAAAATTTTCTAAAAAGGTTGATTCAACTCTCGACATCTTTGCATACATATATAATTTGATTTTTTATATACAAAATCAGGATGATTGAAAACATATAATTTTTATTTCTATCTGCTTTATTACTGACAAGACTCTCAAGAAGGATAATGGATAAAACCAGTTTAGTAACTCTATCTTATAAACAATACCCATTGCTATCGGAAACCATGAAATAATATTCTTTTTCCGTTTTTGTTTATAGATAGCCCAGTAGAAAGTCCGCGAAACCTGTCTCCCTGCCAACAGTTTCTGTTTGCTACCACCAGGAGGTATGTAATCTACATCATCTCTAACTTAATTCATTCTTAATGCTTCCATACTGTATATAATGATATGGTTGCCTGCACACTGTAAATCAGCCATGTGGTGTGATATTAGGTTTTTATCTGCCAGTTCTTTGCATTCCACCAGCGTCAACTGAATTAAGCAGTTTGTCAATCAATTATACGAACGTGCTTTAATTAACAAGGAGTTAATCTTTTTAGTAATCATGAAAGGTACTTTTATTCTGACATCGACTAAGATATATATAATTTACTTGTTACACACTTTATTGTATGTAATAAAAATATTGACGTTTCTTTCGACAAATTTACAAAAATATACATCCATGCTTGTGTATTCTGATTTGTGTTCTATAAAAACTTTTATTGTTTTTCTCAGCTTAATGACAAATAATAGAAACAACAATATAAGCGAATAATTTAGTTTGGTATTCCTAGAATTGAAGTTACTTACAGCTAGTCAAACTTAATATTTATCAAAGTCTTTAAATGCTGAACTTAAAAGAGGAGAGACATGCGGAACTTAACCCTTAGTTAAACGTTTGAATTGATTTATTTAACCTTTGATCTTGACGTGTGGACGCTGCTGTACTCAATACTCTCTGGAATTCTCTGGCGTTAGTAGCCTAAATTGATATTACTTAAAATGATATTCATTATCAATAACATTTAAAAATATTTTTATTTATATATTCCATAATATTTTAGAAACTACAGATTTAATGAAACTAGAGAGAAAACAAGAGAGACCCATTAATTGCATTAACTTTAGAATATTTTTGTTTATAATAAACCATATCACCGCGTCAATGTATTGTACTTTGTTATGACCATCCTACATCTAATGTCAGTTCAAAACATTACTAAAATGGTGAGATTTAAGTTCACCACCTATTGAGGTTTATTAGGCTTTGACACGCGTCATTTTACGTAATAATAGGTGAAATTCTTCTGTCTAATGGTCGATTAAGCAAACATTTTATCCTCTTCACAAAAGCTTGGAGAGCTTATGTATTCATCTTCGTTTTTCATGATGTATTTGTGAGTGGGATTATGTCAGACTTACATGATACAATGATAATTCGTTGAGGAATGTTTTCATGATGTATTTGTGAATGGGATCATGTCATACTTACATGATACGATGATAATTTGTTGAGGACTGTTTTAATGATGTATTTCTGAATGGGATCATGTCAGAGTTACATGAAACAATTATAATCCTCTGAGGAATGTTTTCATGATGTATTTGTGAATGGGATCATGTCAGACTTACATGATACAATGATAATTCGTTGAGGACTGTTTTAATGATGTATTTGTGAATGGGATCATGTCAGACTTACATGATACAATGATAATTCGTTGAGGACTGTTTTAATGATGTATTTGTGAATGGGATCATGTCAGAGTTACGTGATACAATGATAATCCTTTGAGGAATGTTCTCATGATGTATTTGTGAATGGGATAATGTCAGAGTTACATGATACAATGATAATCCTTTGAGGAATGTTTTCATGATGTATTTGTGAATGGGATCATGTCAGAGTTACATGATACAATGATAATCCTTAGAGGAATGTTTTCATGATGTATTTGTGAATGGCATCATGTCATACTTGCATGATACAATGATAATTCGTTGAGAAATATTTTAATGATGTATTTGTGAATGGGATCATGTCAGACTTACATGATACAATTATAATCCTTTGAGGAATGTTTTCATGGTGTATTTGTGAATGGGATCATGTCAGACTTATATGATACAATGATAATTCGTTGAGAACTGTTTTAATGATGTATTTGTGAATGGGATCATGTCAGAGTTACATCATACAATGATAATCCTTTGTGGAATATTTTCATGATGTATTTGTGAATGGGATCATGTCAGACTTGCATGATACAATGATAATTCGTTGAGGACTGTTTTAATGATATATTTGTGAATGGGATCATGTCAGATTTTCATGATACAATTATAATCCGTTGATGAATGTTTTCATGATGCATTTGTGAATCGGATCACGTTAGAGTTGCATGACCAAATGATAATCCGTTGAGGACTATTTTCATGTCACACAACTTACACAAACGCATATAATGAGTTTTATTTTCCTTTAAATACGGAATTTGTTTTTTATTGATTTTTTGATATGCTCAGAATTTTTCCTTCTTGTACTACTTAGATTTGTAGTGAGCACCGAAGTGTAGACCTTGTATATATGTATTGTCTTGATCTGAATATACGTGCGTAAGATAAGTATATGCCTACCACAAATATGAAACGTATACGCATGCGCAATTACAGTAATTTATATTTATGGTTTATAATTCAAAATTATTGTTGCAAATATTGATGGATCTGATAGTAAACGGCATGTACATATTGATATTTACATGCTCAGGGTGCTCGATTCACAATCTGAGGGCTGCGAGTTCGAATCCCCGTCACCGAACATGCTCGTCCTGTATGGTTGCTGACTGACCAGCCAACCGGGTGTAAAAGTTTTTGGTTTACAAAAATATCGGCCGATTCCAAACTACTTGGAAATACGGTCGTTACGAAGAAATAAATATTGATTTAGTTTTAAGTTATAACGTACTTCCAACATGTATGTAATTACTCGGATTTTACTTGACTTTCAATGGAATTATCCCGATAAAACACCTAACGTTTTGAGCAATTTTTTTTTTTAGTTAACGAGCTATAAATTATACCTACTTTTATAGATGTAGGGTATAACCTCTAAAATTAATAATGTTCCCTCTAAACCAGTGACACATACGATTGTATAAAATTCTTATAGAAGCAAAGGAAAAACCAGAATAAATGGAGTGTTTTGATGTTTACCATTCCTTGTGTATGAACAATAAATAAATGTTTCATTGCGAGCGGTTAACGTCAGAGGTTTATCGATTGTGTAGCAGGTGCGTGGAAGTGTAGCATGACTTTAACCCGCTGCTGAGAGATTCAGACACTATAAACCCCCTGGAATTCTGCTTTCTCCTCCATTTTTTAAAAAGGCGTCCAGTCGAGTCTTCATAAACTGTGAGGGGTCTTGCTGGTCGATACTCAATAGGGGATCGTAGCCTTACTACAGTATATCAAAATGACTGCCCCAATCTTTCTCTTTTACTTCCTTTTGTTCAAGCTGAGCGCTTTGAGGTGTTAATTCATTAATAAAGGATACACAGTGTGGAGACGAAGGAAAATGGATGGAGCTGAAACTTAATACCATCCCTTTCTTTTATTCAGAAAATTATGAACCCACCTAATGCTAACGTGTTTTTCCACAAACCTTTTACTTACTAGTTGGGCAGGAAAGTTTGATCTACGTTGCAAAGCGTCAAATCTCTGTAATATTGTCCAAGTTCTTGTGTTAAATATCGAGTGATAAGGGAATATAAGTATGAGATAGGAGCAAAGGAAGGTGGCACGTGTTTCATGTAAAGCACAAAATATTCATTCTACTATTATGCTGCCTTTAGTTACACTAATCGTGACTTATTTCTATTCTAACGTATGTAAGTAGACGGTAGAAGTCACGAGAGTAAAAGGACGGAAAAAAAAGTCAATTTAGCTTTTGTATAGCATTGTAATTACAATAAAAAAGGATAAAGGTACTTAAGATAAACAACAATGCATTACAATTAATACTAAATAATTCATTCCTTTTGAAATATCAATGTTTTCGAGTTGCATTTATCGTAAATCAGAATAATGTGAAGAAAAGGTAATCCTCATTATCCGCTGCGCTTGAAATTCTTTTAGGCAGGATTAGAGCAAATTAATCTATGAGACCTTTGTTTCCTTTTTATTAGCTAATTTTTGTGCGCCAGCAATACCAAGCGTGGAGCGCGCGTATGCACGATGCAATTTTATTGGTCATCAGGATCTTTACCAGCCTACCCTCAAATTGAAATTCTTTTAGGCAGGATTAGAATAAATTAATCTGTGAGACTTTGGGCGTGATCAAATACATCAACCGAAAGGATTTGACCTCCTGAGATCTCAAATCGGTCAAGAGATGACAGAGCTGTGAGCTAAAAGTTTGTACTTGAAAAAAAACACAAAAAACTGAAAGTTGTTCTATGAGCCACTCATCCGCGGCTAAAAAATTGTATTAAGATTGCATGATATTTAAGTATAAGTTATATGAATTTTAAATTTATGTCGTAATGTGTGTGAATATAATGGCATAGGTTTGGATTCAGTACACACATATATAATATCCATGTAGCTTCGATGCACAAATTGAAGAAGTCTGTATGGAAAATACATAAATGAAGAACACACTTCCACCACATTGGAAGTGTCCTTATTTTCTACTATATAAATCTTACAGAAATGTAGGCCTAAATATGTCATAATTGAATGTGCATGGTCTAGTGGTTAGCGTGCAGGACTGTGAATCTGAGTGGCCGTGTTTCTCGTCCTTTTGCCGCAAAATCCCATTGAATGTGCATGGTCTAGTGGTTAGCGTGCAGGACTGTGAATCTTAGTGGCCGTGTTTCTCGTCCTTTTGCCGCAAAATCCCATTGAATGTGCATGGTCTAGTGGTTAGCGTGCAGGACTGTGAATCTGAGTGACCGTGTTTCTCGTCCTTTTGCCGCAAAATCCCATTGAATGTGCATGGTCTAGTGGTTAGCGTGCAGGACTGTGAATCTGAGTGTCCGTGTTTCTCGTCCTTTTGCCGCAATATCCTGCTCCGTAATTTTGGGGTCGCGGGTGCTTTATAACAGCGAGAGCCTAATCCCATTATTCGATTAGAACCAGTAACCCAAAATTGACGGTGGATGCTGATAAGTAGCTGCCTTACCTCTGCTGATCCAAAATTAGGAACAAGCACATAATAGTATTAGCTGGAAACAATCCCACAGTTTAAATCACTATCAGTTTCTAACAAGATGACTGTTTATTTTTTTAAGTGAATTGAACAAATCTTACTAGAACAATATTATTACAGGAAGTGTTTACTTGTCTAGGTAATACGGCCTGCCCTGCATAAATGTTTTAAGTACAAATTGAATTTTCAATTAATGTGCCACAAGGAGGTAAAAATAAAAAATAAACTCTACCAGCTAATAAAAGAAACAATGAGTATGTAAGAACTTTGATCTAATTGTTTTGATGTTTCACAAAAGACCGCTAAACATAAACAGGTCTAGCAAGAAAATTGATTAAATATAACTGACAAAACAAACAAACAAATTGGACTGGTTTAATTAATGTAAACTCACATAATCTTCTTAGTCGTGGGGCTTCCCCCAAAATCTGATTAATCTTGGCTGTAGCTTTCTAAAATCCCTTGAGTTTCCAGTTGGTCCTAATTACAAATCCCTTGAGTTTTCAGTAGGTCCTGATCATATTTTGTGATAAATTCTCTTTCCTTTTTCCAGACATTATCAAGATGTTATTGTTAGTTCCTCTCACACTGAACAACACGCATCATTTAGCGAATTATAACAAGAGGTTTTTTTTTTTAGAGCAAAGCCACGTTGGGCTATCTGCCGTGTCCACCGCGTGGAATCGAACCCCGGGTTTTAGCATTGCAAGTCCGTATACTTACCGCTGTCCCACGGGGGGACATATAAGAATTTAGTTTTAGAATTCATTGTCACATTAAATGGCGCTTTGAAATAAAGTTAATCGTCATTAATGTTTAGAACAATTTAAAGTGTGTGGGGAACGAAATAAGAAGTATATAGTATGCACGAATTTTATAAAGCGATACTGTTTGAAAAAGAAAGAAACAAACGAACAGGGCGACGGGAATAATCTTGGGTATCTTTAATATCACGGAAAAAAATTCCAAGAAACGTTTATGTGGTAAGCATTCTTCACATACTGTTTCTGGAATGTAAACGGTCTGATTAGCATGCCGAATTGCACATCGAAAGATCTAAACACACTCCGAAATTTCAACTGCAGATGCACTATGAAAATAGGAATTAATCTTTTTTTTTCTATTAATTAAAGAGCCAAACAAATCACGTTTGGCAGCAGGTGCTACTATCTGACTGCCTTTCCTCTTATTAGTATTTCGGATTCAAGGACGGCCACACCTGAACACTAGCATCTTGGACCTGGCCGCATAGCCCATATGTGCATAAAGGTGTTGCTTAGTTTGAAAATTCCATTTTATTAACTTTAAAAATATTGTTTGATGAAATATTTCTTTTCCTGGGTTTATGAAATAAATCACTGCCACGCATGTCCTAAAGTTGTCTCTCTTTTCTACAAGTCTATTTAAATTGTTTGGTGTACAGTAACTACGCATTATGGCAATGCATTTTAGTGCGTGGAAATTAGAGAGACATTATTTAATGAGTTTGAAAGGTATATATGGAAAGCAGAACATAAATTATGGGGGGGGGGAGGAAGATGAACGTAACAGTCAATAAATCTATTGCTTAGAACCCACGATATTAGAAACTGTGGCGTGCTCCTTCAGAATTCCCCAATGGCCAAAACGTCAAGAATCTGCACCATACATATTCATTGCAAAAGTAAATTTAATCCAGTTTTTGGACCTGGTAGGCCTAGAGGTTATGGCGCTCGACTCGACATCCAAGGGTTGATGGTTAGAATCGCGTTCCCGAACATGTCCTTTCAGCCGTGGGAGCGTTATAATGTGACGGTCAACCCCACTACACAGTTTGATGATTAGAAGAAGCCTAAAATTTGGTGGTGTGTGGTGTTGGCTAGCTGCTTTCCTTCTAGTCTCTCATTTCCGAGTTAGAGACGGCTAGCATAAGTAGCTCTCGAGTAGATTTGCGCGAAATTTCACAAGCAAACCAGTTTTATATTTAATGATCAGTTATAGAAGCTGAAAAGTTAAATATGGTGGAAATAATCAGAACTATATCAAAATTAGCTGTTGTCTTTGAAGAGACGTTTGTCCAATCCTTTAATTTGGTAAATTACTTTATAATGATTGTTTCGCCCGTTTCTAAACCGAATTAGATAGCTCATAGCTGATAAAATATGCAACGTTCAACAACGACAGATGATATATTGGACAATCTCACTGCATTCGCATGTGGTGACTGACAGGATTGATTCAGAAACGTATTTCAAGAGAATTAGCTACATTGAAAGAGAGGCATATTAGTACATAAAGTGTGTTTCATGACTAGGCACTGCTTATATTTTCTACTTATAACTGAGAACTGGTTTTGTATAATGTTGAACTGGTTTCTACAACATATTTTATGTCCTTATATTTTTGACATAATATACTATAAACAACTACAGACTGCTTTTACGTTAATTTTTTATGAATGTATATTTCCTTTCTTTGCTTATAATTGTGAAACTTTTAGATACAGGGTGATTCATGTTTCATTAAAACTGCATAGAAACTGAAGGAAGGCATACAAAGGGGAAAAGTCTGTTTAACAGCTGTGTATCTTCACTTGTGAAAATTGTTGACATAAAGTGTGCCCCCCTCACTTCACTCAGCTCTTTGGTCGTAGTCCCTAATCCCTAACTCCAGTAATTTGAATCATTTTTATAGTGTAGGGAATCAGCATACTGACTGTCTTATAGCTGTGTACTATTTGGCTGACTTTTACTCTGTGTTACATGTTTTTAATCATTTTCCAATACTTAGTTTTAGGTAATCATATAATGAAGCGTTTGGTCATCCACATCTTTTGTTAGTTTACCTTACCCATTTTTATAGCAAGAAATATCGTCAAAAGATGATAAAAAGTAATAATTCTGTGCAGTAAAGTTTTATCCAACCTACACACACTGTTATTTTAATCACATGACCTGGAACAGTTTTTGAAACTAGAGAACCCTTGTATGGGAAAGGCTTTCATGTCTGGAACACGTAGGCTTAGGCGGTGATGTTAATAACGATCAACGTGGGTGTTTATTTGTGGTTCTAGACTTTTTTCCTTCGAATAGAAATCGTGTTTAATATACGGTTGTTATTGCTGTAGTAATATATATATAATGTATGTGTAGTTTGTGTTTTAATAAGACTTAAGCCTTAATAAGACTGTGGCTGAATAACCTGATTACTGAAGTCAGTAAAAGTGAAGGCTTTTGTTATCTGGCAACAAATCCCATTAAACATGGTCTGAATAACGAACGTCTGCAGTTTGGCTGTTTCTCTTACTTATGAGAAGGCTTACTTGACTTTGTGAACACTGTTAAATGGATAACATGCTGTCAAGAAAGAAGAAATGTCAAAGCCTTTGACAGATTAGAAATAAGCATTTGTTTTTTTTATATATAAATGAAGAGCGTAATAAATTTTGTGTGCTGCTACATGACACTGTAGATATGTGTACGAACAGAATCATTCACCAGCTTATGTTTTTCATCACAAACATTTAACATTTCATCGTGAACATTTTACCCGTTTTCATCCACTGGTCACTTTTGGAGTATTTTTATGCTCATCATTTCTAATAGAGTCTAGTTCTTTAAATTTATTAACAACACCCCAAAATTTCTTCGTAAGTAGCAGTGTAAGAAGATTAGAATCGAACATTTGGAAAAAAAAATCCTAATTTGATTGGAAAGTATGTAATCCCTACAGTAATAAGAACGTCTATGATTTTAACAGTTTTTTAATTGGTGATATTTTCATTATTATCATTATTATCGCGAGTACAGAAAATACTTTGTTTAGTCATGGTTCAAGAAGTATTGTTGACATTATTATAATGGTAAAAAAGTACTTTGTTTAATTTTGGTTAAAGCAGTGTTGTTGACATTATTATCATGGTACAGAAAGTACTTTGTTTAGTTTTGGTTCAAGCGGTATTGTTGACATTATTATCACAGTACAGAAAATACTTTGTTTAGTGCTGGTTCAAGCAGTATTTCTGGCGATATAAACGAAAATAACAACACCACAATAAAGTACTGTTTGGTGTATTATAGAGGAGAAGGCAGAAGATGGTCCCTTGCTTCTCTTCCATCTTCTGGATACGGTACCAACACTCCAGGGAGTTCCAACGTTTCAGTAAGCATTTTACATCAGTCTGCCTTAAGAGTTTTCTGAATATAAAATAGATATAGCCTTAGAAAGTATTTTAACTTAGTTAACCGGCATTTCCTTTTCCTAAGCTCTATTATAAGTGTATCTGAACCGCCAGTGGATTAACGGTAAGCTTGAGGGCTTATAACGCTAAAATTTGGGGTTTGATTCATATACCGGTTAATTTGTCCATGTTGGAAAATTTGCATGGTTTGATCTAGATAATATTCTTTGTACTCAATATCAGCTACATTCAGCTCCAGGTTATTACTCTAAAACTGTATTTTAAGAACTTATGCTAGAAACTAACATAGATTTGCATACGTTCAATTTTCGCCAACATGTCATTTTTTGCTTTATTTGCGCAAGATCAATATTAGATCTACCGCTGGGTTAGTGTTTGTGAAATGCCTCGGTTCATATACTTGATAAACAAAATTTTGATAGGATTTATATACAAGACCTTAGTTTAGTGCTGGTTCCATTCATCATCTAGTGAATTACAATAGTTAATTAGCTAGCTCGAGACGTAAGAACTAATATTACCTTTGTTTGCTTAGAGCTACAAGAAATGGAATTAGTTTCTGGTTAACGGTTTTAACGTTATTAGTATATATAATTGTGTTACTTCTTCAGTCTAAGAGTTTTTTGATAGTTTATTAATTATTTGATGATACATTACTATAGTTATATCTAGGCAAGCAGGGGGATTGTGATAGGCAGGCAGTGGCAAAAAAAAAGTAATAAAAATCCACTGATGTTCAATACTTTAAGTATTTTACTTTCCATAAGAATATCTTGCATTCCTTTAGAGCTTATGCAATTGTGAAAACGTATAGAAGTATAGAGCGGTTCAGGAGGATATATTCATTAGATTAAACATAAAAATATTTGCGCATTCGCTTTGAATTACCATATTAAAAATACTATCAATCACAACCTACCGGGCACTTCATTTCTCTAACACTACTTAAACTGTATGTATGTATGTATGTATTTGTTTGTTAATACTGTATGAAAAGCCAGCCAACTTCTCGATCCTGACTCCAGACCATATCTGTATCAGATATCCAACATTTTCCAGTCTCAGTGCTCCTCCCAAGAAAAACTTCACCCCCTTCCTAGTCATCCTGCCATAGATGAGAGGCGCCATCTATCAAGGTTCAGCAGCAACGAGAGTAACCCCGGTGTGGAAGAAGATGGTCGCAGATCACCGCTGATGAGGTCAAGATCTAGAAGTTTAAGGTGAACTTTTAATTCCTAAAATAACAATTAAATTAATGAATATTATTAAAGGAATTGTGCTCTCATAATATTTAATATAACTTTTTAAAACTTTATCTTCAAGTACTTTGTTTTACATTTCATGAAGAAATAATAGAGTACACACAATAATTTATACAGAACGTTGTATAAAAACCTTAGCTCAAGCATTGCTAAAGGTAGAACTTTGTTCTTCGGAACAATAAAGAACAGTCTGCCTAACAAAGGAACTTGAACCTAGGACTCTTGTTATATCAGGAAAAGATTGAAATAGGCATTATTTTATAACACAACATTTATCTTATTTTCATTCAGCGTCGAACGAATTTCTCAGAAAGTACAAATTTGATCTTCTTTTGAAAAATCAGAGGTTTCGATTTTTTTGCTAATAAAAGCTATGTAACTGTAAAATATTGGACATTCTTTTCCCTGATAAGCCCATTTACAAACACATTTATATACTATATACGTTTAATTTTTTAAGGGTAAACGAGAAAAACTTCATTGCAATATACGATTTTTTTAGATTAAGCCCATTTTCAAATGTTTCGATTAGCAAGATTAATAATTTCAAAATTACTTTTATGTAAAAAATTTATTTCATGCAATTTCCTGATATTTCTAGTTCCTTATTTATAAACTACACAATACAACATAATGATAATAATCAGAATGTGACGAAATTGGATTTACAAAACGCGTTGGGTTAGTAAACACCATGTGTTTGTTTGTTTCTTTTTTTTTTTTTTTGGTCTAGCAGTCCAATGCGGTCTCCTGGTATGGATAGCGATATCATCCTTATGAACAGTGTTTACAAAGAGAGATTTCCCAAGGTTCGTATGTTTACTACTGGGTCATTATTAGTATATTTCTTTAAGAAATATTATTTTATTCTTCCGCAGGCATTATCATTGCTACTGAGTGTGTGTTATTTACGTGCTCAAAACTATTTAGGAAACTTAAATGAATTTAGTTAACACACAATACGGAGTGCGTGCAGTTGAACAAAAATTACTAAACTTTATAAGAACTAAGTCAAGGTGATTGAAAATGTCCACAAATCTACCATATACGATTCTGAAAAATCCTAAGCTATAAATAATTGAGCAAGATAATCGTTTTAATTGTGTACTTTATTGCATAGGAGAACACTAATAAGTAATGGAACATGTTCTATGAATTATGTGACTAAGATTAATTGGGAAAATAATGGTTGTAAATAGAACAAAGAAATGAATAAAACACGTTTTAGTAGAGGGAAATGAATGGATAGATGTGTTTGTTTTATGAGTGAGGTTTTATAGTATCAGTCTTTGCGAAGTAGATTTTGATAGGGACCAGACATCTTTCACTACATAACCATGTATTTTTGAATGTCTTGAAGATGTACGTGCTGGACTAACTAGTTGTGTGTATTGTAAACAGGCCACGCATCAGATGGAAGATAGACTGGAGAAGTTTATTGAAGATGGTCAAGAACTAGACCCGGATCTTAACTCAGACGCTGTCACTCGCTTCGCTCACTTCCAAGTCATTGAAATGGCTAGAGACTGTTTACAGAAGTCAAAAGAAAAACTCGTGACATCGCGCTACTTTTATGAAATGTCTGAAAACCTCGAGAAACTGTATTCTGAGGCAATATCCTATTTTTTTTATTTTTTGAAAATGTTTATTTAAGATGCTCATAAAATACCAAAAAAACAAAAAAAGTAAACATACCAGCCTACTATATTTAATACGTGAAAATTGGCAATAACTCGAGACGAATGCAAACGCTTCTGTCATTATCTAGTGACTTATGTTAAACTAAACACCAAATGTAAACATAACCAGGGTAATTTCATTATGTTGTTTATTTACCTTTATTTGCTGTTCTGCTGTTTTATTTTCCGAAACAAAACACTAATCTACAGTTTCTTGAATTTTGAAAATTAACGTTTGTATCAAAACTCATCCGAATGGAAAAATATTAAGCGACATGAAATGTTATATAATTGATTAAAAGTGACAGAAAGAGTGTTTTGTGAAAATGAGTGATATGACGAATTTTTTTTTTTTACTTTGAACAATATCCTGTTCATTCGAGACAAACACTGCAATATAAAATGTAACGTTTCCATACAGATTCGTATGATAATTACTGTAAATTAAATGTATATTTAAAGCAAAATATCCTATATGAATTTAAATTTAATATTTTTATTTCTATATTTGAATATTTTAGCTTCATATATATGATCGCATACTTTGGGCTAATGTATGTCTACTGGTAGATTTAATCGAATAAATATTGTTCTAGATTTAAGCGCACCATTTAACTTGAAAGGCGCCACCTAGTGGCACAGCGGTATGTCTGCGGACTTACAACGCTAGAATCCGGGTTTCGACACCCGTGGTGGGCAGAGCACAGGTAGCCCATTGTCTAGCTTTGTGCTTAATTACAATTACAAATACAAACTTGAAAGGCATACTAATTGTTTAATATCTAAATGCATATTTGGCGTTTATTTTAGTTAAAATTACCATTGTTGGTTTTTGATCCAAATTTTTTGTTTTATATCAACAAGACTAGTTTTAGGTTTGAGTGTATCAATAAATACGCCTTGTTTCGTTGTATTAACTTACAAAAATGGGAATATTATTCAAAATCATTAGTCTCTCTCATCGTGCTGTGAACTTCTGTGCTGCAACTAGAAGTTTATAATCTAATAAGATGAAGAAACATATAATTAAGAAAAAAAAGACCAAAATGGTGTCATTCGACGAATTTCAGCATCAAACCCTTTCACAGTAACTCCAGAAATGAATGCAGGAATACTGGACACGCATGGAATTAGAATCAGTAAAAGAATTGTGTGAAAGCAGTTTTAAAAAAGCGGTGTACAAGGGAAGTTACAAGTAGAACGCTTAATGTTTCATATGTGAACATACAAAACGTTTAAACATTGCAAAGGATCACAAAACTTGAAATGGAGAATGAGAACGTGTTATGGACTATCAAAACAAAAACTGAGGATTTTGGAACTACAAGAAATTTTGTGTGGGGTCAAGTAAGAAGTTTAAGCAAGAGTGTGCAAGTAAAACAGTGAATCATGGTTGTGGATATATAAGATGTAGGGAAGTTTCTCTACAGTAGGACTGGAAAATACTGAAAATCTTTAATTGACTTTGTCTTTGAATTGCAGTAACGTAATTAACCAAGACCTACCGAATAAGAGAACAGAACAGAAGAAAATGATAGTGATAAAAAAGTCATGTAATGGGCAGCTCAAAATTCGATTCCAATTCAACTGGAAATTTGTGACACCAGCTAAAAAGCGAATGTTTTAAAAGAGGAGACTGAACAGCAAACGCAGAAAATTGTTAGTATGGACTTACAAGTTCTGTGTATAAGTAATAGTTATTAAGTACTTAATTGCCTTTTCAAGCTTAAATGTATAGTTCCTGTTTCATATAAAAGTTACTTGTTTAACTAAAAGGTATGTTTGGTATTGTAGTGTCGTGAGAAGTCCTCCACAGCAGCTGGTCATATCAGAAATCTAATCAAGAAGTTGTTGCTGATCGTTTCAAGACCGGCTCGGTTACTGGAATGTTTGGTAATGTAAATTTGGTATTCTTTCTGAAAAACAGAATATAATTTTTTCAGCATGTACATATTGTATATTGAACAAGGATACGCTGTTGAAAAATGTATTTTGTCAGAGAATGTGCTGGTGAGAAACAATTAAAACGAAAATGACTTTGGGTTGGTCAGAAATATACAAATTACTTAACCATGTCTACATTGAATATTAAATCTATCGATACAGAAGAACGAAACTGAGATGCACCGAATAAAATTGTATTTTGAATAGAGAATGCTTTACTGAAAACTAACATTGAGTAAAAGAATATCTAAAATAAGAAAAAAGTTGGTGATGATGATGATGTGTAGAATTAACGTATACCAAAATACTTTTCTATTCTTGTAGGAATTTGACCCAGAAGATTTCTACAGATTGCTAGAAGCCGTGGAAGGACAGGCTAAAGTGGCTCAAGGTGTCAAAACAGATATCCCACAATACATCATTAACAAGTTAGGCCTAAACCGAGATCCACTTGCTGGTACGTTATATGCTGTCGTTTTGTTAATGTTCCTGATGCTGGCATGTTTGAACTTTTCGCGATTAGTCACACACACACACACACACACACATTATAACGCATTCTTTACAATTTGCTGTATTGTGTTTCTTTGGGGAATAAAAATGTGGACAAAACCAATTATGGTTATAAAAGACTGTTCAGTTCGAAATTACAACATGGTGGTATTCTAAAAAAACATAAAGTATTTAACAGATATATCCAACATCTTACACTAAGATAAAGTATGATCTTCTGTGTAATAAAAATGAGTTAAACGGATGAACATTGTGTATCTAAAAATGAGTGTGTTTGGTGTTGTGAACCCAAATTATGAGCAAACGCTAAGAATTATGTTTTATTTTAGTTCTTTGTCATATGTTCAATAAGGTATCCTGTCATTGACTGATAAAATTTAATATGATTCGTTTGTAAACATACTGTTGGTGTGAACGTGCTTTGTAGTCAGTATTAGAAGAACTTGTACACTGGATAGGTGAAGTGAAGAAAAAGTGTCATTGGCTGCTATTCAGTTCTTCACATTATATAGCCGCACCATAGCAGATATAATAAATAAACTTAGTATTTCGAAAATTGTTTAATTTCGAAGTCTAAGTTCAAGGGAGGTCCAGTTCAATCTACACTTTCACCCAAAAACACACGTTGATCAAAGTGTAGATTGAACTGGACCTCCCTTGATCTTAGACTTCGAAATTAAACAATT